TGCTGCACGAGGCAGGTGTCTCTGCACTCTTGTCCTTGCTCTGCTGCCCTGCCAGGGGCCGAGGTGATCTACCCATGGGGCCGGCATTCAGCTGGCACTTACAGCTCGCCATGGGCACATTTTGGGGACATACCTGCTCGATATGGCAGACTGGTCCACAGCCCAGTGTGAGGGCTGCCTCAGCACGCAGAGCCTGTGGATGGGGGACATGATGGTGCTCCCCCCTCTCTGCCTCCCCAGACCATCCAAGGCATCCAGGCCAAGTGCTTCCGCACCCTCCCTGACCTGATCGGCGCCTACCAGCAGCCCAACAACGGGCTGGTGACTCCCCTGCTCTACCCCGTGCACCGGGCGAGGGAGGTGGCCGAGGAGGACTCGGGTGAGCTGGGGACCGGGTGGCGGGTGTCGTGCCAGGCTGTGAGCGGGGAGGGGTCTGGCTGAGCTGGCTGTCCTCTGCCCGCAGATGGGGAGGAGGGCCGAGGCAGTGGGCACATGGCAAGCACGGTGCTGGGGGAGGGGGCTTGTGGCGCAGCTCCCCATTAGCCAGCCGGACCCACATCTCGCAGCAGCTGCACCAGAGGCTGCAGGAACAGGTCCACAGCAGGTAATGCACCCTGGCCCACCCCAGGCTGGCGGAGGTGATGCGGCAGGCATGGCCACCCCTCCCTTGCCATGGTGGCACACCTGGGGCAAAGGGATCATTCCAAAGATGCCCACCTGCCCTTGCAGCCCAGCCAGCGACTTCATGGGCTTCATGGCCGAGTACCTGAAGCATCACCTGCAGCTGGACCTGGAGGCGCTGCGCCACGGGCATCCGCAGCTGCAGCACCTCAGCACCGCACTCGTCACTGCCTGCCGGGCTCTGCAAAGGACCCTGGAACAGCGGGGCGGAAGTGGGGGGACACCCACAGGGCCACCCACCTCGTCCTCTGTCTCCTGTATGGTGGCTGAGCATCAGGAGATGCTGGCACCAGCTCTCACCCACTTCTCTCCTCTGCAGTGAGATCGACTTCACGCTGGCGGGCTTGGAGACACTGGCCAGGGTGTTTGACCCCCCTGCGTCCCCTCGAAGCACAGCCAGGGAGCAGGTGAACCTCCCCTTGCTCCCCCTCCCCACGCCACCGCAGCCTCCAGCTGCCTATGGGTGCCTTGTCGTGCAGGGGTGGTGCAGCTGGGCCACAGGGCAGGTGGTCGGGGCGGCTGG